AGGGACGCCCAAAGTGAGGTAGTTTTTCTAAAATGTGGTTCCGGGATTCAATATTTTCTTGCATTTTTCAATAAATTGGTTCATAAAAAAATGAACAAAACTCCTGCCAAAAAAAGGTCTGAAAATGGGTTGTAGCCGAAGAATTTTTTCACAAAAAAATATATAAAATTGCTGCAATCACTTTCAAAGGTTTTTAAGGATTCACAATTTTCAAAGGTCTTCAAAAGTTTTTCTGACGTTACAATTTTAGTCTATCCAAAAAAAATTACTTTAAAATTTTTCAAAATTCTGTGAGTTATTTGGACATGAAATCGTGAGTAATGGAAATGCTCATTTTTGAGTTTCAAATAAAAAATTACAGTAACGTTGAGCTTCAATTCCAAGTCACAGCTGATCTTAATTCTACATTTCGAAGTTACTTCTTCTTTTTTTCCTCCAAAAATTCCAAAATCAGATATCAAGTACACCCTTCATCCAATCTCTCCCCTCCCACCAGATGTTGCAAGTCAAACACACTTCCACACACGCATAAAAAAGTCGTGAGGAATAGAAAAAATGCCAAAAGTTACTCTTTTGTCTTCCTCTATCCTTGTCTTATCCTTTCAGATGAAGCCGTCAGATATCTCTAGTGGTAGGAAGTCAAAAGAAGACGTAATCGAATGACATACGCCTTGTTGCTCGTTCATCTTCAGGGTAGAAATATCCAGGACCCCAGAACGAACTTGTGTGTCTTTGTTATCTTGGCGTTTTGATCTACACGCCATCAAAATGCATCACTTGGAAATGCACTTGACCACCACACCGCTTTGGAAATTTATGCGCAATTTTTGTGACGGGTCGAGGAGGTTCTTGACTCTTTGAGCCACTTGTTACATTAGGAGAAATAAGAAAAAAACAAAGAAAAGAACATAATATAACTAAATGCATATACCGTAAAAACTGTATTAGAAGGGCTTTCTTTTGACTTTGAGCCAATTTATCTCGGATGCTGTCAAAGATATAAAAAAGTTATCAACTGACAAAATTTTTTTTTATAAAATCTTTTTTTTTTTTGAGAAATTACTATTTTTTGATAATTTTCACAGGAAACAAGATAATTTGTCTGAAAGTTAAAAGTTAGTAGGGTCATTCTATTACATTGTTTACGGTATGCAACTTTTTTCATCTATCTTTTTTCATCTTTTTTCATCTACCTCTGAATTATGGTTTCTACCTCTACTTTGGTTTTTTTTGTTCTCCCTACATAGCTTTCTAAATTTGTGTACTTAATATTTTTCAATTGTTTTACAGTAACGGAAAATTATTGAGTCGAAATTGACAGATGAGGAATTGATGGGCAATCGAAACATTTTGAAAAGCAGAAGATTCCGATAATTCCTAAATTCCAAAATTGTGAAAAATGGAAAATTCTGAATTCCTGAATTGTAGTAATTTTTTAATAGAAGGCCACGCACTTTCAACTTCAAGCTTGTATATCTCTGTTCCTACAGAAGATATAAAAAAAGTGGTCAACTGACAAAATATTGGTGATATTATGATAAAAAATTTGTTAGTTTGAGCACCATTCGATATCTTTTACAGGAACCAAATTATGTGGGCTCAAAGTTGAAGGTTTGAGTGGCCTATTAGAGTGTTCACGGTAATTCGAGTGAAATTTCACAGATAATTGAAAGAAAGGTTCACAAAATAAATGTAAAACATTTTTGAGAATCCGTTTCTGCTGAAGAAAATGAGAAGCTAGCTAACTTATAGTTCCACTAACTAGTCTCTGAACCCTCACCGGATACCAAGTTTCATTTGGCTAATGAAAAAAAGAAGTTCTCGAACTTTTTGCTAGAACAATGAACTTTCTTGTAATCAGCCAAATGAATAACGGTTGTAAAATGAGGGTTCCCGCGCTAAAAGGGCGAAGGCAAAGAAGTCATAAAATTGGGTACTTGGTGATTTTGAGCGTATCGGGTTCGAGGAACAAAGCTTTCAGAATGATGAAGAACAAAAATCAGAACTCCAATTTCTGATCAAAACTTCAAAGATAGAAACCTTTAAATTCGAAATCTGACTTCTATATTTCGCCAAGAGGCTTAAACTAAAAACAATCGAAGAACAACTATGTCACATGTGAAAACTCTCTTAACAAAAAATTCAAAAACTATTTCGGACACTCAACCATTTATTTCCAAAGGGCAAATCACTTCAAACATTCTATTCTCCTGAGCTTTCTTCACACAAAGCTGGTGCGACAATTGGTTTTTGGTGTCATTCCGATTCCTCCTCCTCTTCATTGCACCCCTCCTCCCATTTTTTTTCTACAAACTTGTCGTTGCTCTTTAGAAGCCGCACCCCGCGTGTGCGCTTGTCAGGAGGTCAAAAAAGATGCCGTAGACGAAAACGAGATTTAGTGATTGATTAGAAAATGGCACGTTTTACAACTGAAAAAGTGGAAAAAAGGCTTGGATTGGAAGATGGAATCTGGCAGCAGAATGGAAAAGATTATATAGGGCTATTACGATTCTCACCAAATGGAAATCTATTTCTGGCTTGAATAGGTCAAAAATAATAATAAAAAAATGCAAAATTGAGCATGATCAAACAAAAAAGCAAAAACTTTCATCGCTTCAGTGATTTGAAAAAATTCAATGTTCAATATTTTCAAAAATTCGAACCCTATTAACATATTTCATCAGAAGGCAGCAAATAAATTCTCAAAAATTCGAAACTCTCAAAACGGCCAAGTCAATTCTCAGTAAGATTAAAACACTGCATCGTAAATGACAACTATCAGGTTGTAAAACTGGCGAACACCGACATAATGACAAATGACTTGTTCATTGAATTAGACTAGGAACCTCCGGTGCAAATTATTAAACAAAGACAAAGGTTGCGGCACGTTACTGACTAGGGAATGTTGTAACTGGGGTATGGGACTTCGATATGAGACCTATATCATTCGAAAGCTGAGAATAAGACATTTTCAAATATATATTCAGATTTTGCTGCGGACTTACCAGATTCGAGAAAATCGAGTTTGAAATTTGGCTGAAATTCGAATATTTTAAGAGCCAGATCTCCCCCTTTCTTACATGCGTTGGAGAACTAGTTGAAAGCAGTGACTGGTGGTGTAGTGGTGAAGAGGGAGGACGGTAACTGACTAGGGTTAAGTTCGATCCCTCTGTCCTCAGTTCGTTTTTGTTTTTGTTTTCGGATTTTGTTTAAAACTTCAAAATGTTCGGCAAACTATTTTTTCAAAAAAAAATTCTGAAAAATGAAAAATTGTACTTTATAAAAGTTTTAAGTAATACCTAATATTTTTGATCAATTCGTTAATCAACACTAAACATTTTATCTAGTTTTTGTTTATCAAAATTCATCAGAATCGTTCATTTTTTGAGACACACAGTGATTAATCAATTAGACATGATTTGAGTCTCTGTTTTCACGAATTTTGAGTGTTACTGGATGATCATCGTAATACAACGATTTGTTTAAAATCAGAAAAGAGTCAAAATGGGTTGATTCCGAGAAGAAAATTGGTGATCAAATTTTGTAAAAAACCTAATTTGCTTGTTCTTTTTCGTTTAATACTTTATCAGCCAAAAAAAAAAATTTCAAAAAATTTCAAAAAAAAGTTAAGGGGGTACCCCATGGAACTTTTTTTCAAATTTTTTTTCTGAAAAAAAAAATATATTTGAAATTGTCTCATTTTCAGCTTTCGAATGATATAGGTATCATATCGAAGTCCCATACCCCACAAACAACCTTCCCTAGTGAGTAGATAAAGAATATTGGAGGAAATCAATAAAACATTCAATATGTGTTGAGATAGCCACAGTTGAGGCTCGTTTTTAACCTAAATTTCGTTTTATAAATAGAAAGACAGAAAAAAACATTTCTCTTGGTTAATAGAGAAGACATACACGTCAGGAACGGACCCACTAGATGATTCCTTCTAATTCCTCATTACTGCAATTTTATTGTTTTCAACATTGGCGAAGTGTGCAAAAATCAGCGTTTCGCATTCAGGTAAAGATGTTGAAAAAAAAACACCAATCAGCATAATTCTGGGCTAAACGCCCGATTTGATTTTCTCAAGATTTTTGAGTCGTAAGTATTCTTTTATTAACTTTCTATTAACTGAGCTCGTGCCTGACCATTTTTTCGTCAGAAAATTGTTCAATCTTTTTGATAAATTGAAACACATATCGATCCACTAGGACCATCACATCAGCATTCTTGAAGTTCAATTCTTCACTTTGACAAAATAGAAACAAAGACAAAACTTGAACTTGATAGTTTTTCTCTGCCCAAAGTCTTTTTTCCCATTCAATTCCAATTTTCCCTCGTCATCTATTTAAGTGAAACTTTTGACCAGAAACTTGTTCCTGGCTCCAACTCGACCCTAACTTTTTTTCATTATCTTTGTCTTGTTCTTCTTGATGATCAAAAATCTAGTGCATCAAAATTTTTTTGATGCACTTTTAAAAATACTTGTAACGGGTCGGGTTTCCAATCATTTCAAAAAAAAGTTGAGGTGAAAAATAACAATAAAAAACACTGAATAAAATGCTGGAAAAGAACGGAAAATTCTGAGAATTCAGAAATGTTTAACTGTGATAACCGGCTGTTGTTTCGATTATTGACCTTATATGTTTGTTCGATTCGGAATTGTATTCTCATTCTAAAAAGCTAATTTTCAGATTCCCGGGGAACATTTTTTCTTCTCATCTTTTCAAAAATTGATCCCTTTTGGTTATTGTTTGAATTTTTCCTCAGAAACCATTTGAACTTCTATAATACTCAAACTGCAAACACACATCGGAAGATTACTGATAAGAAAGGATGATTCAACTATGATAAAAACCCGCAAGCATGCCAAAGTGTTAAAAAGAGAGAGAGAGAGAGAGAGAGAGAGAGAGAGAGAGAGAGAGAGAGAGAGAGAACGTGCTGCGGCGACTTTTTGCTGTTTCTATTGCTTAGTGTTAATTTCTTGTACCATACCGAAAATGTTACCGGGAAATTCTGCAAATCTTGTAGAAGAAACTGCGAGGTATGTTTGAAACTAATCATTGTCAGTTATGAAACAGTTGTTATGAAAAAATTCGCACTTTTGACTTTGAAGTTTCATTTAAAAAATTTTGAGTGATATTCCAATTTTGTTTTGCTAAAAATGTTTTAGGCTCACAATGTCCCTGAAAAATATGGAGCTAGAGTTGGAAAAATACAAGAACTACATTTCAAATATGAACTGGGAAAAGGAGGATAGCCGGAAAAAAGAGTGAGTTTTTTTTAATAATAATTTTTATTAGCAACCTTTTTCTCTTCAGAATTCAAAAACAGCAGAAATCTCTACAAGCTTTGGAGATTGAACAATTGAAAAAAGAATTATTAATGTAAGCAGATCCTAATATCAATAAGTTGAATGAAAATGCAATTTACAGCTCCAACGAAAGTAAACGTCTACTAATGATGGAAACATCTAATTTGGGAGAAAAAAACGCGGAATTGAACCGTGAGCTTGTGGAAGCGAAGTAAGTTCTAGAAACATTTAGGTTTGCTTCATCCCATTTCATTTCCAGATTGTCAGTTAAAAAACTGAATAATGAACTGGAAAGTGCACAGGAAATTGTCATGCTGAATAAAAAAGATTACAATAAGTTAGCTAATGTGTGCATATTTTACTTGGTACAGTGAATTTTACAGAGTGTGGGATGATATGATGTTTTACAAAAACAAAGTCGACTTTCCATCAAACAACCAAAACCTGGAACATCACGTTCAGACGCTCGAACGTCAACTTCGAGAAGAAATGGAAGCGAAAAACGCTCTTCTCGAGGAGAACAAACGCCTCAAAGGAGTATTCGACCCAGATGCGTGTATGATTTGCTACGTGCCGTTACCGATATCTAGGTGTATGACTCCAAACTGCAAGGGTATTTTCCATAACAAGGTTTTGCCAACACTAAGAAATTCAATTGATTTCGAAATTTTTAGTGCATCAAGCATTGGTTTGACAACTCGCGAGGAGCACAAAAAGTTTGCGTTGTTTGTAACACGGGACAGGTCAAAATTGGAGAGGATAATTTTGGAATATAACTGCAGTTAATTATCAAATCTTCTTCATTAAAAAAATCAAAAGTTAAAATAAATCTGGACTGCAATTGAAATTACTTATTTGTTAATTAAACAGGAAAATGATGATGCTGAATCATGCAAAGAAAAATCGCAGCCAGATCCAAAATATCATGAAATTAGACAGTGTTCAAATTATTGTCCCTTCTCATTCTCGCCAATTCTGCTGGTACTTCTGGTACAACAATCCATTGTAACAATCCCATAGGGATAATTCCACAATTTTGAATGTTGCGGCATCGAGACATTGCTGTGTACAATTTTCCGTGGAATTCACGGTGATTAAGTCAACTACAAATTTTTTCTGGGTTCCAGGTGTGGTTTCTGACAAGCATGATTCCATCGAAAGTGGCTCCCTGTGCTCTCTCGATTGTATGGGCATAAGCCAAACGGAGAGGGTACTGTTGGAACCGCCTATCTCCAGATTCATATTCCAAACGTTTGATTTGAACTTGTTGGCCGTTTGGAAATCTGAATATAAAGATGTTAGAACTTCGCGAAAACGATTTCATTTTAAATACCTTTTTAAAAGTATAAAACAATAACTTTTATTTCAATGGGGTCTCACAAAACTTTTTTGATCACATAGTTAGTATTTGATTTTTTTTATTTTTAGAATCTTAAAAATAAGCATGAAAAAAAACTGTCTCGAAATGTCGTCCATTTAAGCTTCTGGAGGAGCTGATCTTGCGGTGAGAGGGGAAGGATGCACACCCTAGCACCAAAAAAAATAAAAAAAAACCCTGATAGATCTGACATCCCCCCTTCTTCTTTAAAATTCTCACCTGACGGTAATATCGTCATCATTAATTATCTCGACTCGACCAAACGCCCCTTTTTCAACATTTACATTTTTGCAGCTATCCTTGAGAACTACCGGTGAAACAATCGCCAACGGGAGATTCACACGCTCCAGCCTCCAATTCCTGGAGTATTTAATTCCGTTTGAATCCGTCGGGCCCAAAATTTGCGCATGCCCCATCTGGTCCGCAATCTTAACAAATAATTCTTGCGGCGCAATAATCATTGAAAACTTACCGCAATATTAATTTCGCTTGCTATTTCATTGTTCGCGCATAAGAAAGCAAAATCGTGGTCTCGTCGGTTGTGAATATTTTGAAAATAGTAGGTCACAAGCGCGTCTAGAGTTTCTTGTTGGTCAGGAAATACAAAAGATGGGTAAAGCCTATAGTTGCTGGTGTTTGGAAAATTATTAAATGAGCTCCAACTGCATGAATTGGAAGTTCAACGGAAGTCAAAGCGTGTAGAGAATAAGCAAGAAATCTCTCGCTTTCTAGAGATGAATTTTCGAAGGAACATGACATTGCTTGATGTGGTAGCAGGAAGCAGGTAAAAGGGAAGAAATAATGAAATACTAGCTGAAATTCTAAACTGAAAAATTTTACAAACAGGTGGTTTCTTGCAAAACAAACATTCATCTGTATTTCCACGAAAAACATTATTTTTGTTTTTGTTTCATTCTTTTCGCCTATGCGAAAAACTTTTAAGCAGGAAAAGAGAAAATAATGATATCAATTAGAAAAAAAACGATGCAGACAGACTTAGAAGGCGATGAAATTAGATTCCAAACTGTTGTCTCTTCTCATTCTCTCCAATTCTTCCGGTACTTTTTGTTCACAAACCCATTGTAACCCTCTCATAGGAATAATTCCACAATTCTTAAGATTGCGGCATCGTGACATGGCTGTGTACAATTTTCCGTGAAAATTGTGAGATCCCCAACAGCGAATTTCTTTTGGGTTCCAGGTGTCGTTTCTGACAAGTATGATTTTGTCAAAAGTGGCTCCTTGAGCTTTTTCAACTGTATGGGCGTACGCCAAACGGAGAGGGAACTGTTGGAACCACGTACCTCCTGACTTGTACTTCAAGCGTTCGATTTGAACTTGTTGGCCGTTTGGAAATCTGAATATAAAGATGTTCGAACTTCGCGAAAACGATTACATTTTAAATACATCATTTTGGAAACTGAAAAAAAACTTTTTTGATATTCAAGAAAAATGTCTCAAAAATATTTTTGATTTTTTCAAATCGTAAAACATTTACCTGACAGAAATATCGTGATCGGTGATTTTTTCAACACGACCAATTGCTCCTGCTGTAATCTCCTGCTTTAATGCTCCTGCTGTAATTTGGCAGTTATCCAGAAGAACTACCGGAGAACCAGTCGCCACTATGAGATCTTTACTGTTTGGTTTCCATTTTTTTGCATATCGATCTTTATTGGAATCTTCCGGTCTGAAAACTGTCCAATTCCCAAGACTTTCGACAATCTGAAACAGTGAAATTGCAAAGTTATTATTTTAGAAAAAAACTGACCGCAGCATTAATATTGCTGGCTATCTTGTCATTAATATCGCTGGCTATCTTGTCGTTGACGCATAAAAAAGCAAAATCGTGGTCTCGGTCGTGAATATTTTGAAAATAGGTCACAAGCGCGTCTAGAGTTTCTTGTTGGTCAGGAAATACAACACACCAATCGTTCAAGTATTTGCGCAATTCTTCTTCTTTTTCTTTGAAGCCATCACGCATGAAATTAAAGAATTTCTGCTCTTTAATATCTCGCCAGTTTTGAGACTCCAACTCCACAATTTTGAAAAGAGTCCATAGTTTTTCAGGTGATTCGGGAGTTTTCTCTTTAGCTTTCTCCTGATATTCCGGTTTGAGATCTAAAATGAATTTATAGAAATCAGTTGTATTTTCCGAATGATACCTTCGAAAATCCATAAATCTTTGACTGGCGGAACTTGATGAAAATCTCCAAACGCGATAACAGACAATCCACCAAAACGTTTTTCTCTCCCAGTTACTTGTTGGAGACGATGGTCAATTCTAACAAAGTCAACAGCTCCGACGGAATTTATGTTATCGATCAGAAGAATTTTGGCTTTTTCCATCCAGGATAGATTTGTTAAAATCTGATCGGTAGCGTTGGCCATGAAACGATCGATTGGTTGAGAGGTTTCTCCCCACTGAAAATTTGTGATGGGTTTCTGGTTTTCGTTATAAGAATTACTAGGTTGGCTGTATTCTCTTTTTCTCGACAATATTCCCTTTTTCTCTGGCTCAATATGAAATTAAGCTCAATGAACTGACCTCCAAAATAAAAGTGGAATGAATAGTTTTCCCCCCAACAAGGTATCATATTCGAAATGGCTCCGGACCCCATTAGCAATAGATTTGAGAAGAAGAGACTTCCCAGAGCCTGCTTGTCCATGAACCAAAACGTAGAATGGATTAGCCTGAAAACAGTTGTAATGATCGCACGTCCATACTTCACATGTGCGCAGTTTCTCCATGACCCAACGATTTACAGCGCACGATTTCTTTGGCAATTCATGACCATCCACCACGATTGATGGAAGGGGTGCACCTTCAGTCTGCATCTGAAAGTTTAGTTTGTTGTTTTTGAGAAAAAATTAATTAACGTATATTTTCAATAAGAAATACTGTATCAACAATAAAAAGCCAATGTTTGATAGTTAACTTTTTTAATAGAATTTTCTATGAGCTGATAAGACGCATCGAGACAAACACTTTTGAAATTTCAAAAATATGAACTAAAAAGTGATGAGTAATCAATTTCTACCAATGTTATCTGTGCGGGACGAAAAAGAAAAAAATGCAACAAAGGTATTAAATTTTGTTTGTTTATAAATTCGAAAGTTTTAAAATCGGTCCAAAAAAAGTTAGGAGCATTAACAGTAATAAGGTGACTCCAGTTTTTGAAAAAATAAAACTCTTTTAAAGAGTTTTTTTAAAAAACGTTACAAGTTTGGACCTATCAATATTTTCATAAAATCAAAAAAAGACAACTTTTTCGTTTTTTCAAAAATGATTGCTAGCAAAAATGTGAACGCACACGTAACGTCTACTTGTAATCTATTTTCCATTAGAAGAGATGACGCGCGATAGTTTGAAGTACAGTTGAAGCGAGGAATGAGCAACGCATACTGTAAAAGAATGAAAACTTATCAAGCTAGGTGTCTGAAAAATAGTTAACAACTAAAAAGACTTGACAAAAGACAACAAATTCAATTCAAATATTTTCAAGTGTAGCCAACAATACTAGTCTTTACTCTGATAATTACAAATCTTTGTAACGTAGAGCTTTTTACGAGCTGATAAGACGTGTCGGAGCAAGTAATTTCAAATTTTCAAGAAATAGCGCTAAAAATAAAGAGTTATTAATTTCTACACCTGTTATCTTCACGGAACGGAAGCACAAAATTGTAATGAAAGACAAAGTTTTTTTTTTTGAAAACTCCGAAATTTTCAGATTGATCCAGAAAATCACAACTCACTCTTGTGGCACAAAATAGCTCTCAAAAGCATATTTTAAAAATTTTTCAGTGGTACTGTGTGTAATTGAAAATATCATACTTGCTAAATCTCGGCCCGGCCCGGGTCAGCCTTGGCTCGGCCCGGCCCGGGTCAGCCTTGGCTCGGCCCGGCCCGGGTCAGCCTTGGCTCGGCCCGGCCCGGGTCAGCCTTTGCACGGCCAGGCCGGGCTGGAGAAAAACTATCCCATGACCCTTCTTAAACCTGAAAACAAAGAAGTTTTGATAAAATGTTCCCAAAAATCCAGTTTTTTCTCAAAAAACAACTCTCGCAAATTTTTGCCTCAAAAACCAGCCTGAAAATTCCTCCACCGGCCCGGCCCGCGACATGTATGGAAAATATGGTGAAAGATGATGTCAATAACATCAATAAAGTTATTGGGATTTTTGAGAAGAAACTTATAAAATGCTTTGATAAAATTTGAACCGATCAATTTGCATATAAATATTGAAAAAAAGGCATGTTCCTTTCCTCAAAAATAATCGCTAGCAGATTGAAAATGTGAACAAACACAGAGTAAAATGTGTAATGTCGTCTTCCAATCTATTTTCCATTAGAAGAGTCATCGCATGTTAGTGTAAAGTACAGTAGTTGGGGACTTCGGACTGAGCAATGCAAAGAGAAAACAGAAAAATGATAATAATTCTAGAGAGGAGTTGAAGAATAAAAATGAAAAAAAAAATTACTAAAGTGAGAAAACTGAGAGCTTTCCCAAGAATTCATGAATTTCAAGAATTATTCCGCCAAATTTTAACTCTTGACTTTTAAAAATAATGCATGGCCCACTCAAGCTGAGAATTTCTTCAAAAATGTTCCGTCTACACGATGACGTAGAGAATATATTTATGTAGTTAGTGTAGGACAGATTATTACGAGTGCGAAAATTACCGAACTAGGATGAATAGGATTAGTAGGATTAGTAGTACATAAATTCACATATAAAATATGAAAACAGGTCATAATTCCAATTTTCATAATAAAATTTCACCCATTCTACAGATACTGTATTTGTAGATGACATGATTGGCCCACACGGGTAGAAGTTCAAAAGTTTCTCTAACTAGGGAATGGTCAGAATCGTGACATACAAGTAAATTCACTGAAAATAAGGTTGCTCCCTGATTCCAGAACAGTTTTCAATTTTTGCTAAACGGCCCGGAGAACCGAGATATTTGAGCTCAAAAATCAAGCTATAAACCATTTAAATCTCGCCTACTTTTTGATTTGCTGCTTCACCCTCCCTATTTTCCTCCCTCGAACACCTTATTCTTATCCGCCACTGATGGTAACTACCAAATGTTGCTCGGTGGCCGAGTGGTGTGCGCGCTTGTCTAGGAATCTGTTTTTGCGGGTTCGAATCCGCCTTCTTTTAAAGTTCTCCTTTTTGTGTTATTTGATCATACAACGTTTTTTTGTACTTTTAATCATGATTTTTTTGCATCCTATACCCGCAGGAAGCCACCATGACATTTTCAAAATTTCCAATTTTGAGTTTTTTTTCTGATCAAAACCATGTTAAAGGAAAACTTTAAAAGAAGGCGGGTTCGAACCCGCAAAAGCAGATTCCTAGACAAGCGCACACACCACTTGATTTTTGAGCACAAATAATTTTTTAAAAAAATTTCTACAAACATAATTTTTCAATCGGTATTTACTCACGCACCAACTCCATGTTCTCGTTTTCTTATCAGTTTTTTTCTCCCTATGTACACACACTATTCATATATTCGCAACATTTTTCATGTGTTTTTGAGAACCTATGACATTGAACATCGATTCAACTCAACGACACTTGCAAAATGAATGATTTGACGGTTTCGACACTACAGGACCAAATCACCAAGTATGTTCTGATGAGGATTTCAAAAAAGAATTATAATTTTTCAGAGTTCGTGAAAGTTGCGCGTCTCTCAATGATTTTGTGGAGAAGTTTGTGTAAGTTCAATCACTGAAATTTGCTATTTCTAGTCTTCGATTTGCAGAAAAGCCTCTGGTCTTAATGGAAACGACATTATAAATGTTCCGCTCTTGTTTGGAAGCCAGGAGAAAACCACGGTGGTTGTTGATGGTTTCCAGTTGAATCATGACCAGTTACGGATTTTCAACAAAGTTATGAGCAAGCTGCGCTCTAGTCAGGTAAGAAAACAATTTATGACTGTACCCTAACATGATTTTTGAGAACGATCCATTCCACATTTTCGTTAGTGGAGCCGCTGGAACTGGGAAGACTTTGCTTTTGAAAGCTTTACGAAACGAGATACGATCCATGTTGAATGAAGATGCATGTATGGTAACCACGCACACCTTCGCCGGCGCTAAAAGCATCGATGGGGCCACCATACACTCCACTTTTTCGATTCCGGTCAGTTTTTCAATGAATTAATGTTTTATTGTTCTAACTCTAGGTGTCAAAACCCAATTCAAGTCCATATCAAACACCTCAAAAGAAGAATAATTTTATGGAGAACAAAATGAAAAAGTTGAAAATTGTTCTGATTGATGGAATCAACTTTGTGGACGCACAACTCTTCCAAGCAATCGACCAGAAGCTTCGAGCAATTATCAACACTCAAAAACCATTTGGTGGAGTTTCCATTGTCGTTTTTGGTGACTTGTTTCAGATGTCTCCTATCAATGGAAATCCGATTTGGAAAGGTACGCATTGCACGCTATTCAGAAGTATAAAATTTATTTATTTTCAGATCCGAGTGTTAAAAACTTGTGGAACGTTATGCAGTTGGAAGAGCTGACGAGAAACGAAAGGGTTTCCGATCCGGATGAAATACTTATGTTTGATGTTTTGAGATCTGGTGGGAATATTTTGACACAAGCGGTGGTCGAGAATCTCAAACAAGCTTGTGCAATGAGAGGCGACAGTGTGAATGATGTAATCCAAGAACTGCAAAATCTGAGAAACCAATATCCCGACAAACGTTTTGCAGTGTTGTGCAACACGAATGCCATTGTGGACAAGATTAATGAACAAGTGAGTGTTTTTTCAGCCGTTTTGCGTGTTATATGTTTTTCATCTTTTAGTTTCTCCAACAACTGGGAAACAAGAAAACGCTGTATGCAAAAGACGCCGTTAAAAATTTGCGCGGTCCCACTTCGATTTACAATCAAACTGGAAAGTCTGAAAAGATGAATCTTGAAATTTGCATTGGGTCTCAAGTCATGCTCACTACCAATTATCATCCCTACACATACGGCGCCATTGGAAAAGTGATGGAATGCAATGAGGAGATAATCACTGTAAAATTTCCAACTGGCACAGCTCAACTTGTAAGATGTGGTTGGTATCAGCGAGCCAATGGATGGAGACAATTTCCGTTGGCTTTGGCGGAAGCATTCACTTTCTCGAATTGCCAAGAAACAATGGTGGATGGTGTGATTGTTGTTGGAGAAATAGACAAGAAGAGTGTGTATGCTGTACTCTCCAGAGCAAAATCTCTGAAACTTTGCCGATTCTCCCAAATCGACGCTTTGGACAACTTTGCTAAAAGGGATTTGGAGCCAGAGAAAGAGGAGATGAGAAGAATGAATAAACAAATCAACTGATGTTTAGAAAAAACGCTGATAAATAATGTTCATTTTTTAATTAGAAAAACCACCTGTTCATTGATGGATTTATAAATTATTTAGCACTCAAAGATCAGTTATTAATTTGTTTTCAATGCATTTTTATTGATCCAGCAATGCCGTGTTCTTTCGAAAATTCGTTCTTGAAAGGCGAGAGCTTTCTGGCTATTCCTCTTCACACATTAACGTGTCTTGAACTTCCACTTGATGCATTTGCTGTCGATTTGTTATTTTGCAAAACACCAGCAACGATGAGTAGAGCCGGTACACTCGTATTGCATTGTTCTTGTCTAATTATGGATTTAATGTTCACAAGTTTATAATGCTTTTACTTCTGGATACCATCCTCATCTGGTTACCCAATCGGATTAATGACATCAGCCGGTGTTGAATCTTCAGTTCAAGTTTTTTCAACAACAAGCTCCATGACAGGCAGGAAAGTCCCTGTAATATTAGGTTGTCCGGAAAGTCCTTCCCATTTTTGAACTGTTCTTTTCAAACTTTGTTTTTTCGAACGGGGTAAAAGCGAGGAAGCTGTCGTTTCATGAGTATATTAATGGGGTTTCATAGTGTCCGAACCCAAACAGAGATCATGCTCCTCTTTTCGTGTAATGAGATATGCCCACCGTTTTCGGCTTTAGTAATTTTCATTTTTGGACTATCATTTTATTTCTATTTTTATCTGATCTTAAATTAGCTGAAATCGATCTCCCATTATTGGGGTTAATAACACAGATGCACTCTTTCGAACTACCACCAAAACCTGGATTCATCAATTTGAAAAACGAGAATTCTCGTTGGACGAAAATCCCCCTTCAAAAAGGCAAATGGGCTTAAGATGCATTGAAAGCCGAGATTGGAAGGGACCCGTCTCAAACTGTGTGGGATATATCAAGTACATCAGTGGCAAGCCTTTCGTCAAAAAGCCATAAATTGGAAACTCTCGGCAAAGTCAAGCAAATGGATTGTTCACAGTTATAGTGATGATAGTTGTGTATAATTTATATCCTATTGCTGTCAAAGAATTATCTTCACCAGAGACAACACAGAAAACAATTCCGAAATCAACAACACTAGGAACACCAGCATTTTAAGGGCTCCTATCAAAATGTGTTGTTTAAAATTACATATTTCAAATGGGAGAAAGATGATTGTTTTGAGACGATGTTTAAAAACCCTTTAATTTCCCAATTTCACAATTTTTTTGGTCCTTGTTTTTTTGTTGTGTTCTTCCGACACTCACAAATCTTTTTTCAAAATTTTGACCGTCAAAGCAAATTCCGTTCTCGTTTCTTCTCTTTTTTTTTTTGATGAGTACACCGACGATAAAAACGAAACAAGGTCAACTGACCTGACCATTATAAAACTTTTGTTAGCTTGTTGCATATCGTTAATTATTTATCCTTTTTTTAGTAGCAGCTCATTTGTTACAGTTACCCTTTCATATATTCAAAAGGTTTTTAATTTTTAGGCTTCTGATTCAAAAATAAATCATAAGCTATGTGATATAACCTATTGCGTAGACATTCGACTTCTAGTAAACAAACAACCGACCAGAGAGGAACAGCAAAAGGAAAGGAGCTTCTCCCGTTTTCTTTTCTTCTCTAGAATCTGTTCTACTCTCTTGTTTTTCAATACTTTCTCGTTGCACCGCTGGAGGTGTCGCATTTGTCTTGGGCAATGAGAGCATGAAAAAATAAATCAGACTAAAGGATACAATTTTTCTTTATCAGTGGCTAGTACGTCTTTGGAACTTTGTGCTCTAGTACGAATCTGTTTTCTTTGAAAAACTGATTTTAGCTTTTTAAGATCTCTAATCCCATTTGTTCTTTTTCCGTTTTTCCGTTTTCCAGTCTGCCAAGACATCTGACTCGGATTAAGAATAAAACCGAGTGAAGCAGAAGCAACCTACGAACATACTGCTTCTTTCTGTCCAATATATTATTTGGAAAAACGCTAGAAATTTCAAATGCATTTTTTTACGAATAAATCTTTCTCGATTTTTTCTAACAAAAGGAGTTTTGAGCTAGATTTTTTCTACGTTTTCTAAAAAGGAATTTTTTGCAATTTTTTCGAGTAATATCAATTCTATTTTGGCGTCTACTGGATTTCCATCATTCACCCTGAGCATGACATTGCGTCACAAAATTTGGCTGCGTGCCAAATTTCCAATCGAGGTTCTCTCCCGCGATGTTGTGACTTATGATGGCCTCCACCAAGTTGTTTCTAGTGTTTTCTTTCCCAGAGGGACATTTGAGAACGGATCCTCTCCCCCCCACGCACTCTCTTCCTCCTTCCCTCTCTCTCATAACGTAACTAACCTCATTATTGATTGATTTGCACGTCGTGTGTTTTCTTGACCCCGCTATCTCACCGTGTGTTGCCGCGCTCGTTGTGTTTTTATCTCGTAGGTCATTTTACCTGCACGGCACCCAATGACCACTACTCGTTTGTTTTTTTTTTGTGAACAAATCGCGTTTTTGGTTTTTTTTTCTATTTTTTCGCTGTGCCCTATACGCCAAAACCCTATTCAAAGGTGCATAGTCGGGCCAGCAATAAAATCGTCACCGTGTGCCGTTATTTTCAGCCAAACTAACTTGATTTTCGACAATTTTTGTAAACGTTTTGGGGATTTCAAAGTTTTCATTCATTTTTGACCAACTTTAGTGAGAATAAACTAAAAACCACTTTACAAATAAAGAAAAATATGCAAAAAATGATTTTTTTAAAAGAAAAATAAATAAAATTTGAAAGATTTTAACGGCACAACGGGCCTTTCAACCAATTCTTATTTGCAAAATTCATCGTTTCCCGATAAAAAAGATTTTTGGCTATTTTTTGCACTATTAAAACGTTAAAATCCGTCCTCACTGTTTTCTTGCTCATTTCCATTGCTCATTTTCAAGAATTTAATCATTTTTTCCAGATGCCGACGTTGGATGTCAACCTCACCGAAACCGAGGAAGACTTCGTCAACGAGTTCTATTGTGCTGCATCAGCACTAGATATCACGAAGCCACAGTTGGAGAAGAATATGGTCAAATTCTTGATGTAAGCATCATCTTTTGTTTTCAACTCTCACCTCCTAATTTTTTTCAGGGAAACTCCAGAAGGCCTGCAGAAGCGTCTGGACAAATTCGGACCAAACCTGACCGTATCTGCAGTTTTGGGCAGATCAAACACCTTCCTAAAGAAGGGCCCCCAACTTCGGTTGGCGGTTCGAAAAGCCGAAAACCGGCACATTGAAAACATGATTGCTGATCGGGGCAACGCCAAAGGAAAAAGAAGGCAAAACGGAAGAGGAGGAGCAAATGGAGCACAAGGGAACCCGAATAACCGTCATGGAGGTGAGTAAAATACCTTACAGCTTCTGATAAGGTCAGAATCAGTCTTTAAAAAACTGAGTTTTTCTGTCAAAGCTATTCTCAAAAAAAAAATAACAAAAAAAAAACAATTTAAATATATAGTTTTAATTTCGCAAGTGTTGTAGATAATTTGAAAAAAAAAATTTTAAAACACTTATTGTAGACATAATCCTTTAATTCAATATGAAATTTTTCAGGGTTTCAAAACCGCGGTCAAAACAGAGGCCAGTCCAATAAAAATGAATTCAAGACGTATCAAGGCCCGAATCGCCACCAACAACAACATCAGGACCGTCCGGAACCAGCTCCTCCAATGAACAATTACCCGGATCAACGGCCATTGATGCGTCCGTCAACACAAGCTGCCTCCAGCTCTCGTTTCGACAACTATCGCGATCAGTATTCTCGACAGGCATCACCACCCCGCCATGACAATCGTTTCCGCTCTCCATCTCCTCCAATGAACTGTCGCGCCTACCCAAGCCGATCGCCATCACCTCCAATGCACCGTCGCTCATACCAAAGCCGCTCTCCATCTTCGAGAAACTATAGGAATCAGCAATATGGCTACCACGATTATGATGGGAACGGTTATCAGGAACCAACAAGCTCCTCGAATGTTCGGGATGATTATCGTGAACGATCACCACCGAGTAGCCAGCAATTTCGCTCTCCTTCTCCGGTTCATCAACACGCATCGTCCAGGAGACGGTCACCACCAGGCCAGCAAAACTGCCGCCCAACTTCACCTTCGTCTTCCTACAGCCAGTTTTCGGAAGAGCCACTTGAACAGCAACACCAGGCTTTCAAAAGATTTCCCCTGGCTCAAACACCTCTTCCAAGCCTGGACGAAGCTAAGGCAATTCGCGAGGTGATGGAAATGTTGAAGACGATGTCCGACAATAGCATGCTCATCGAAGAGTTCTTCTCCTTGGCTAAAATGGAGAACATCGAGTAAGATAAGCGGCAGAAAAGCCTTTTTAAAGCCTATTTACCGATACATTTTTTCAGAATCCCAGGATCTTGTTTCATTGAGCAAGAAAATTGGCTCGTTGCGATAACTCAGAACTTTGCTGAGATGTTCCAATGTTTCTCCCTGGACATTGAAGAGGTAAGGATTTTTTGCGATATTTGAGAATCATTGAACAATTTCTACAGTCAGTCATCAAATACACCGGAGCTGAGAAAAAAAAGAGCGAGGAGAACCAAGAGATGGATTTGGCAATTCTCAAACGAATCGCGGCAATCAGAGCCAAACGATTCAATATCAAGCAGCTTGCTGCGGAAATCAGTGTTATGTTCGGAGACGTGTCGGGTGTTAAACAAAAGTTGAGCTCTCTCCTTTTCTCCCATAGCTCCATTTTCCAGTATGAAAAGGATAGTACCACGAGTAAGTTTTTTTTTTTTGAATCACTACAAAACAAAGTCAAGAAAATATTTAAAAAAGGTATTTTTCCGTTAATTACAACGGTTTTCCGAAGCCTGGAGCTTGACTGTAAAGCATTTGATCACTGAGAATTTTGAGAGGTGTAAAACAGACCTGGATCGAAAACTTGGAATCTACAGAATTTTTTGAAAATTCCTAGTTTTTTAGGTATTTGCCGATTTTTTGAAGGACATCCTTTTTTTCTGTTTTTGTACTGAAAACGTGAAAAAAATCAGGTGTCTTTCGGGAATCGGCAAATTGCTGAAAATCCATGACTTTTTTGGAAATTCTGTCGATGCAAAGTTTTTAATTTAGGTCTGGTTTACTCCTTCAAACATTTACAAAAAGGCAAACTTGACAGCCGAGCTCTCCTGAAAACGGTCAAAATCAACTTAAAAATGTGTTTTTGTATTTTTTTTTTATTGATCAGGTACTGTATTTCACATCGCATATTCATTCATTTTCAGTTGTGGAAAACAAAAACTGGATAAGCGGAGATCCATTGGAAGACAAATTTGCCGCTTCGATCATTCCTCTGGAAATTCCGGTCAACGGAGCAGATTGCAAGATCCGTCTTATGCGGTTCCAGAAATTGGAGAAGTTGGTAATTCGACCAGTGGAAGCTGAAGCCGCCTTCAAGAATATTGATGAGGAGATTCAGTGAGTTTAATGCAAAGTGACTTCAAAAAAGCTAAATTCTATTTCAGAGATCACATCAAGCTTAAACAACTAACGGATCCAGACAGATTCTTCGATGTTGGTCAAATGGTCCTCTGCCGAATGATCCCCGTATCTTTGGGAGCCGGGACAAAGTGGGGAAGAGGGATCATCACAGAACGAAAAGAGAATACTGTAAGAAGGCTTTACTGACAGCAGTCTTGAAATATCTCAAATTTCAGCTTTTCAAAGTGTACTTGTTGGACTATGCCATGTTCATCGCAGTTGCCGAAGATAACATTCGTCGATGCCCGATCCGCTTCACCAAGATTCCAGCCACCGCCATACAGTGCACGCTCAACGCTTCTGACCGCCAGCTCTTGGATGTTTACAACAAACCTTGGAAACAATTCATGGAAGACCATGCGGACAACGTGATCGTTCGGGTTAAGGACCGATACGAAGAGGTGAGATATTTTTCATGTTCCCGTCAATCTTAAAATTATCTTTCAGGGACCCATCACAAAACTGGTCGTCGATCTTCTGGTTCGTTTCACGAACATTGGAAAGGTTCATGTTATGGATCTTGAATTTTAATTCTGTGAATTACTTAATCTTCTCCCCGTTTATTTATTCATTATACTTTTTGTTTTCTCCCAGTTCTTCTTTCCATGTAAATCCTTCATGACAAATTCACCCCGATCTTTAATATTTTTCTCCGATTGTCTGCCTCACATATTATTTTGATCCCACTGAAAATGAATATCACACTGAAAATGAGTTCAAATCGAAAGTTTTTTAATACAATGGATTTTTTCCAGAATACTACCTTTCCTCTCCATTTCCAGGTTTCAATTCAGATTATTTCAGTTAGTACTCTATCAATGTGCGCAGTGTAGGTCGAGGACGACCGCGACGCGGCACGCAACGCATATGTGTTCTCCATGCCTTTCCCTTCTCATTTGTCGTCATGTCTGCCACATTGTGCAAGCACGCAGAGGTCCACATGCACAATTTTAATTTATTTAATGCTAATAATGTTTTTCGACAGTCTTTAAAACCTGATTTTCATTAATAGTTTGAACAAATTTCAGATATTTCACTTCCTGGACTGCTCCGATGATATGCAGGAAAAATGTTGAGGATGAGAGTTTGGCCAGCCTAAGCCAGCAACATGCAACTTCAAGGAAGCCGAGGATATTTTTCTCGTTTCGAGGTAATTTTTCAAGTTTGAATCACGCCCGTTTCGCTCTTAAAAAGTTCTAGAATAATCTTTTTCAGCAGCTACAGATGAGAAACGATGAAAAAAAAAGAAAATCCATGAAAATCGATGAGAATCTTCATAGAACAAGAACATCTGAGAAACTATCTTGCCGAATTTTTTGGGATTTGGTGAGCGGGCTGATGATAAAAAATTATACTAATTACACCATTCGCTCTTCATGAAGTATTGTTTGACGGTTAGTCCGGATAAAAAATCTAATGATACTCTCCGCCATAAGTTTCATTCAGATTCCAACGTCGGCCATCTCTACTCTGGAAGACAAAAAGCAAAGAACCAATCATGATTGTGAAAAATAGTATCCAGTAGATATGATATTGATCAATAATGCGGAATTCCCCCCGAAGACCATCTCAACTCTTGAAAACAGGAAAAATGGAGTCAGTCGATTCGGATGCTCCGGTGGCGGTTCAAACATGAAATAGAAGACTTTTTCATGGAATTGCACACATCAAGCGACCAACTTAGTCTCATCCGACGAATTTGTCAAAACGCAACATCAGTTTAGCTCGAATTCGGTTGGTTTCATTTTATATTTGGTAAGTTACAAACAATTAATACTTGAAAAAAGAATAACAAAACTTTACAGGTGTAATCAGACGGCGGAACTCAAGAGCTAATTCGGAGCAGGAGAATTTTCGAAATCAATGTCAAATTTTTTCAATTGGTGACAAAAGTGCGCAGTACGGCAGATAGCGCGAATCATTTAACGGATCGGAAGACTCATCCAATAGTCATAGTCATCATTGCACACGGTGGCGGTTCTGAAATGAAACAGAAGACTTTTTGGTGGAATTTTGTCCGATTTCAATCATTTTCACCGGTCATTGTTTTTTTTTAATGTGCTGGAAATATAAACTTATCTGATATGACTTTTTTTGTTAGTAAATTAAATTTTATTTTATCTGAATACAACATTTTTTCTTATTTTCACATTTTAATTCAGACTTCCAACGATGTGTGCACTGCAGGCCGAGGACGACCGCGACGCGGCACGCTACGCACAGTAACGATCAAAGAAGAGGGTCCCCCGACAAACTATGAAGAGACATGAAATCATACGACGGCGAAAAAGTGGTTACATTGCTTTGAATAACTACCAAATGACGAATTCATCGAAAAAATTGCTGGGAAATCATGAAAAAAAAACTACCGGAAAACTCTATTGTTCGGAGGTGGTCTGGGGTGGCACTGTATTAGGGGTGGCATTCAATTAGAGACTGGCACTTTATCTTTCGGAGAGAAATTCTACTAAAACTCTTCACAAAAGCACTTTATTTACAACTCTTTCATAAAACGATTTTTGAGTTTTTCTTGATTTTTCTATTTTTTTGGAGTCAGCCTAAATTTCGGAGCCTGATATCATCCTGAATCATTTTTTGACAATTACAGTACCTCTGAAAAAAAGCTAGAAAGCCAGAAAACGATTTTTTGTTGCTCTTTAACTTTTACCACAGTAAAATCAAGTCAGCAGTGGCATTATATTAGAAGCTGACACTCTATTGTTCGGAGGTGCTCTAGGATGACTCTATATTAGAGGCTGGCATTCAATTAGGGGTGGCTATCTAATAGAGTTTTTACGGTGTTTATACATACTTGCGACGGGCCGGGCCTTCAAAAAGTTTGTCAAGGCCCGGGAGGCCCGGAAGGCCCGGACAGTTGGCGCCAGCTTCGATTTTTAGGCAAAAAAGCTTGTTTTTTTTTTGGAAAAAGTTGTTTTTATGATCTAATTTTAAGCTGAATTGTAAATATTGAATTGGAAAATGGTTAAACAAAATTTTGAAAAATATTTTTTTTTTCTGACATTTTTCCGGAGGTGGGATCTGACGGAAAATTGCATTTTTGAAGAAAAATAACTGTTTTTTTCTCAAAAACAAATTTTTTGTCAAAAAAATCTCAAAAATTTTTCAAAAAAAATTTTTTTTTAATTTTTACCAAAAAATTTTTACCTGGCCTTCCGTGCCTTCCGAGTCGGGCCGAGTCTTCAACGATTTTTGCAAATATGTATTTATACAGCTAAAATCTTCTTTCCGTACCAGCAAGAATATTTTCAAGGCCAAAGTACCGTAGATTCTTTTATTCAGCTACACATTTTATCAGTGGACACATCGCTGAGGTGTACGGCTGATTCCTGGAACCAGGGTCAGATAGAGAGCCAAGAAGGACATGACCAACCAGATAGGATTCATAATGAGGTTGAAACATACTCAATATTTACTGGGACAGACAAAAAATTTTATTAGCTTGATTCTGAATATTCTTTATGTTGAAATTCTACTGCTGGGCTCTTTGTCTGATCTAGACTCAAGGGCTCTTGCTGCTGGGCTCTTTGTCTGATCTAGACTCAAGGTACCAGCCTTTTTTCAGATTTCAAAAATGTGTCCAATGACCAAATTGTGTGGCTGAATAGAAGCGTGTACTGCATTTTGGTTTTTAAATTAGTTTTGTTGGCATGATGTAGATGGTTTTAGCTGTGTGACTTTCGTTGAGCATTTTTTTTTCGAATTACCAGAAGTTCGTCTTTTTTTATACCCGTTAAATCATAATGATTCAAAAAATTTTTAACTAACATAAGATATCTATACAGTTTATTTCCTTTTTTGCCATTTTCTTTCTATTGTTTTCACTTTTTTCTCTATTTTTTAGGCTTACCTAATTCTTTTTTGGCACAACCTATGTTTTGAAAAGAGCCTAGCTATTTGCCCATGCGTTACTAGTTTTTTTGCTGATAGCGCTTTTGTTTTTTTAAATTTTTAAAAAAATTGTATTTTGAATAAAAGATGAACAACTTAAATTTAAAATTGTTTATTCAATCAAGTTAGGTGAGAATAAATGGTACAAGCAAAAAACGAGTAGTTGGGTCCTTGGTAGTCGCCAAACAATCGAGTCAGGTGAGTGTGAGTTTTCCATTTTCCTCCGATAAGATCGAATCACAAGTAGCATCGACCTCAGGCAAGCATTCCTGGATGCGTTGCTTGAGAAGATCATACTTTATTGGGACGACATCGTTGAGATCAGCGACTAATTCGAAAAAAGGGAGCATGAACTTTACGGAAAGTGGCAAATTGTTGGCTGGGTCACGAATCTGAAAATGTTAGTATTTGTTTTTATACTTCTTATTTTCTACTCACCAATTCCCCCTTCCAATTCGAGAGATCGTCTGCAGGCAGCTTCAGTTGCTGGGCGAAGTCAAATCCAGCGGCGTACATCACCGCGTAACCGAGTTGGCAAATGTCATCTTTGGGCATCGGATCACACCCTAAACTGGCATCGTAAGCTGCATACTTCATCTTCGAGAAGTCGAAACTCCTGGAGTCATCACGAAGGTTCCCATCGGCATCGGCATAAACGTGTGATAATCCAAAATCGAGGATTCGCACAGAGACTTGATTCCCAGGTGTCCTTGGCTGGGTGATGGCGAAATTGGATAGTTTGACATCCCGATGCACAATCTTCAATGCGTGGACGGCCTCCAAGCACGTCAAAGCTTGGTAGATAAATTTGATCAGAGTCGGACGCTCAAAAGCCATCCAATCGACTTTCTGCCAGATCGAATCCATGTCGTGACTTAGAAGTTCCATGCCTAAAAATACTTGAATTATTAAATTTTCAAATGCAGAAAATAATTGTAGAAAATCATTCTAGGAAAATCATTTAATCTCAAAAAATTAGCTGAATTTTTCACAAAATGTACTGAAAATCTTTCATCGTTTTTGAGCGATTTTCCTGTTTTTGAAGAAGGAAAATGACTGTGAACTAGATTTTCTCATTCAATTTAATTGAAAAATTCTTATTATTGAACACAGTACTTTAAGTTTTCAGATCTATTCATTCATTTCATTTGTATGAAAAATTAAACTTTGAGCTTAGCAGCAACGAAATTCATGTTAAAGTTAGATAATAACGTTATTTTGATACGAAACTTTTCTTTCGTTGCATAATTTTTTTGAAAAAAAAAATTTCCAAAAGTTTGCTCAACTACTTCTTAAGAAGATAAGTAATTACCAAAAAATAAATAAACTTTCTTCAATTATCATTTTTTCAGTTGAGTCTTTCGAAGTAAATGATTTACCTAGGGTATACAGTACTGGCCAAAAAGAATGCGTCGACACTGTTGACGCAGCAGGTTTTTTGACTGTAACTTTCTTCAAAATAGAGCTAAAGTGTCAAACTTTTTTGTAAAATGTAGCAAATAACCCAAGAAAAAATATTCTGGAACATTTTCACTCAGAAAACGGGAAAAAACTTTTTTGACGACAAAATTCACTTTTTGGAAAATTTCGGGTTTTTGGAGGTTTTTTTTTCAAAAACATGGAAAAAATAGAAAACGATGATGAATAATTTTTAAAATTAAAAGCAAAATTAATTTTACACATTCACAATCGTCAGATTTTTTGAAAACAAAAAAATCCAAAAATCCGAAATTTCCCTAAAAGAGAGTTTTGTCGCCAAAAAAGTTTTTTCCGTTTTCTGGTAAAATTGTTTTGGAATATTTTTATAGGGTTATTTGCTACATTTTACAAAAAAACGTTTGAGACTTTAGCTTTACTTTGAACAAAGTTACAGTCCTGTCGACGCATTTAACCTTTCGACGTATTCTTTTTGGTCAGTACTGTATAATCATAAAACGGCCTACTTGAATTTATTTGTAAGAAAAAACTCACCGATAGTGTGATAGGGTCCGTATTTGTTACAGAAATGGAATTTTGGTACCGCGTTACGGTAGTAAAAAAGCTGAAGAGTCAAAGCCTCGATCGCCAAATCCTGTTCTTCACAAGATATTTTGACTGCAATAGTGTCAGATCCAGAAGAAGCTCTATAGACGGCTCCGTATGAGCCCGATCCAACTAGCTGAGACAGGCGGTATCCCCAGATTTCGGAACCAGACAGTGTGAGCAAGGAATTATAGCCAGACATTCTGAAAAATATAATAATTTTGCTTCCTACTGTGAAAATTTGTAATTTTCCATGATTTTTTCTGACTTTTTCTGATACTTTTCCGCAATTTGATGGGTGACCTAATTATTTTTATACGTGACCTACATTTTAAAATATGCTCAACACTTTTGCCTAACTATTTTTATGCTTTTTCTGACTTTTTCTGATTTTTTCTCGAATTTTCTGGATGACCTAATTATTTTTTGGCGTGACCTATATTCCAAAATATGCTCAACATTTTTCCCCAACTATTACTTATACACATCAACTACTTTGTGATTGAAAAAAAATCAAATTTATCTATAGAACAGAGGATTGGAGGGAGAGAGAGAGAGCAGAAAAAGTCACCAATCCCGAGGGTGAAAAAGAGCAAGAATGATTTTTCTGAAGGATTTCCCCCTTCATCGACAATGAAACGTGTAAGGTCACCCTAAACTTTTTTGAGGGTACCAGGTTTTTATTATTTTTGAAGGGTGAGTGACTGGGGGTGGGTGGTTATGATGGTTGGGGATGAAGATAGAAACATGAAATTGGGTCAGATGGGAAACTAGATCAAATGATACCTCTATCTAGGTCAAAATTGGAATTTTGCCTGTTTTGATGATGAAGATACCATATTGGATGGTTGGAAAGAGCAATTAGTATGAAATTGAAATTAGGTCATCAGGAGACATTAACTAGGTCAACGCTGTATTTTTGTTGGTTTTATAGCTACAGGTACCAAATTAGGTGTATAGGATCTTCGAGGGATTGGAAATTCGAATTAGGTGACATTTTTTGAAAAGTAGGTCACAGAAGTTTTTTCTCCGTAGAGATGGATATAAAGTATAGGAGTGGATTGGATTTTTGTTCCTTATTGTCTGCTATTCTGCCTGGAAGAAATAGAAAAACGAGTTTGAAGGAAGTCTCCCTCCGACCATGAGGATCCGTGTGCAAATGTCTGAAAATAGTTCTGATTTCATATCTCCAAATGTATCCGGTTTGTGACTCACATCTTATTCAATAAGATCACCCAAACTCATACAATGCTAAATTTTTATATTCAAATATATTGATATACCATTCGTAATGTAGCGATGTGTGCACCGCCTTCAGTATTCTCACCATATTTGTGCAATCAATTTTTATGAATGATGAAGAGAGTGTCTCAGTTACTTTCAATTCTTCTTTTTCAGTTGAATCGAACTAGAAAAAATATTTCTTGCAAATTCGCTGTAACTTACTCCACTGTTTATTTCTCGAAGTCACTTGGAGCGTTTTCATTTTTGCAAATAATTATTTACAATTTTTGCCACTCTCTCTACAAAAATGGAATAATTTAGCTTTGACTTCTGCTTCTGATGTTGTAAGTTGATAGATTTGATTTTAGGTTAAAGAAGTTTGTTTCCAGTACACTTTATCTCTTCCATACATCCTGGCAAGAACATCCGGCGAGCATTGTGCGGCAAGGAGAAATCGTCTACTAATACGACGGGGGTTTTTTTGTTAATTCTTGATTCTTTTTGAAGTGTTAAAAAATTGTACACTCCGAAATTTTTATTATATACAAAATTTGAAAAAAATTGCAACTTTTTGATCCATATTTTTTATAGAAAGCCGAGTTTCCCTACTTCAGGATTTTAGAATTGTCTAGAAGTTTTCTTTCAACACTATAAAAAAGTTAATCTTCACCGACACTACAAATTTCACACCCACATATGACGTAGCAATTATCACATACTCTTTTACTTTATCACACGAAAATCCCTTTCTCTTGTTTTCCAGTCGCACACAAATGCGTAGACAAAAAGGTGTGAGCAGAAGGACCGGAAAAGGGGATTTGAACTATTGGTAAAACTCTTTATACAAATCCCCAGGGCATTGAGCTCTTTTATCTTTCGTTTTTTTATTCACTTTGCAGATAATCATGCAGGTCTGCTTTCAGTTTTCCTTTTTTTTTCAAAGCTATTTTGAGTGCGAACGTTTGAGAATTCCTTTTTATTCTTTAAAGCAGGAAATGATTGTATGTGCCATACAACCTGTAATAGAAAAGCCCTCGTATCGTTTTTTATTCAGTTGGAATTTATTTTTTGAAGTCTTGCTTGGTAGTAATCGTGTGCCGATTACAATGAAAATTTTATAACATTTCAGCAACACCTTCATCATGGCGCAAACAAAACATTACGTTCGAGATATTCAGATTATTGGATTTCCTGGGTTCCCTCGGAAGGTGTCCATAAATGAAGTCCAAGATTTTTCTGTAGTTCTCGGACATGGAAAAAGCTCCTTGACGAGAGCAATTGCTTTTGTCTTGCTAGATGTGAGTTTTTAAGTTACTTGTAGTATAACGTTTCTTGTCCGGCGGCGAAAAATGTTGCAGCTGGGATTTTATTGCATATTTCCCTCAGTTTTCTGCTTCTTGATTTATTTTTGATTTTTATAAGTGAGTAATCAGTTGAATATCTTCAAAAAATCAGTTGAATATCTTTAAAGGTGGGGGGACAGGAGATTTTTCGTAGTTTTTTTGTAGTTTTCTGCGTGTATACACCCAATGCGCGCTACTTGACTACAGTTTTTTTGAAAAGTTTTTCAATAGATTTCTTCAATGTTTGGTAATTATTCCCGACTTTTTCTTGTTATTCGGCCATTCTATGATGTCGCCACATGAAACCAGAAAAAAAAAACGAAAAATCACAGATGAGAATCAAACCCGCGATGCGCGATATGCATTCTACCGTAACGGTGTACAACGCTTAATGTCACTCTGCGTACAGCGGTATGTATGCAACCGGGCGGTGGCTTCCTCTTTGCCCGCGTAGCTCAGTCGGTAGCGGCGCCGCACCCTCAATCATCGCCCTCACAAGTTCAACTCATCGAGGGGCATATTTAAACGGAATTTCGAGCAATTAATTTTTTCATTTTCTCCCATTTTAAAAAAACCGTCAAAATATGTCGGAGTAAATTAATTTCAAAGTACGGTATGAAAGGTGCATGCGTTTCTCAAAAAATCATAGCTATTTTTGCTGCAGAACTGACAATGAACACTTGAATATATTTTTGAACGCAAGATTCATTGCCGCCGGACAAAAACTATAACGCTACACTATCTTATTCGAACCATCGTTCGTTTACAGGACAAAATAATCGAGAAAGATCAGACTTTCTACGGTAATCTGAAGGATTATGGAATGTCTGTACGCGTATCGGTATCCAGTTCTAGCGGAGACAACATCATATTTGAAAGGCGAATTTCTGCAATGCAATACCCCAAACGCAACCAGAGCTTTTTCCTAAATGGGCAAAAAGTATCGAAAGGAATTTATAAAAGAAAACTACTAAAAATTGGTTTTTTTTCATTTCAAGCAGGACTTGTACCTCAAGCACCCTTTCTCCAACCAATTGCCGCTGTCCGCCGAAAATCTCACTGATTTCATCAAAGAAGAAGCAATGGATAACGACTTAAAGAATGCTCTGCAAGCTTTATCGACACGGTTTCCAGATACTGAAGCAAAAGATCTCGTTCATTTGGCTCATTTGGAAAATGCCGACCGGTCCAATTTGAGCGAGGAGTTACAAGAAAAAGTGAAGGAATTCAATCGGGTATGCATTTTTTTTGTGTTCAAGATTTTTTCATTTGGTTAAATATATTCTAGATAAACGAAGTCCGAATGGAGAAGTACAAAAATTATCTCACCAATTTCGTCACCAATATCGACCTAATTCTGCCATGTTTTTTTGAGAACGCGGGATTGAGATTTCAATATCAAGAAGGAACCATCTTTCCTTTTCAAAAATTGATGGTACGGCTGAATGACGGAAAAGAGGAGGTTGTGGATATATCGTTTGTCGACGAGAGGGCTGGGGCTGCGGATCAAGCGATATTAGAGCTTATCTGGAGAATTGCATTTTGCTTGAAGGAAGGTATACAAATTTTAATTTTGGAGCCTTTTAAGTGCCGGATGGACGAAGCAACTCTTTCAAAGGTACATTTTCTATTGATTTGCATGAATTAATGATAAAAAATTGATGCGTTGTAGATAATTGGTGCTCTACATGCCGTAACAGCGCAGAGAAACCTTCAAATACTTCTGGCATTGAGAACAGATGAGAAAATCAAGAATGCTCATGTTATTAACATGAACAATAGCGACTTATATCCAAACCATTAAGTTTTCAAGTACAATACTCCACTGCCTTGTTCTATTTTATGTTTTTTTGCCAAAGTTTCATCAATTCTCTGATCCCGAGTTTATTGTTTTTCGTTTTTCCCACGGCCCCTGAAAATCAATCATGGGTTCCTTCACTTCATCTCAATATTGTTCAGCAATATTTCCTATTCATTTTCTCATTTTTTTCTCTATTCATTTTCTCATTTTTTTTAAATCAATGATTTTGTTATCTATGATTGTCAAATCCTTTAATTATTAATTTAAGTTCGATTCTTTTAAAACCAAATTCAGTTTTTTTCTAAACATAGCTTCTTTTTTCTTTGTTCCTTGTGTTTGTCTTTTTCAATTTTCTTTTTGTGATCTTTTTTTGTCCCAAAAACTCAAATCCTTCCCTATTATTAATGTAATTCTAATACTTTTCGTAGTTTTCACTTCGATTTCCTTCATCTTCCTTTTTTACATTCCCAAAGCGGATTAAATCTCACGTTCTGGTTAATCCCATGTCAGAATTCAATTTCCGTTGCTTCGACCAAATCTGCCTTTATTAAAAACCAATGTTCTTTATTTCTCAAATTGTATTCTTCAATCAAAACATTAGTAATTTATTCTAATCCGCTTGTTTGAAAACATTCATCTTACGCCAGAATTTCTGCTCTGCTATTTCCTAGATCAGAAATTTCATAGTAGGAGTTTCAAAACAACGCGTTCCTCATAGCTCAAAGTTAGAAATGATTCTCTGAATTTTTATTGTAATGAGATCACTTCAAGTTTATTCCATAAACAAATACATACATGTACGCTGTCAACTAATAAAATCAGTTCATTTTATTACATCATATCATATACGATGTTAGTTCTCTTTAAAAGTTGAATATAATTTTTTTTCAGAAAATATAATTTTTGATAATAAATGCAATACACAAAGTCCTAATCACAAAAAGCAAAAAAGAACCATGAAAATAGTATATCGCCAGGATGGCCGACGTATTCAAAATTAAGGATATTAAATATCTTGGAAACTTCTTCAATTTGGATTTATTGGCGTTTTAATAACATAGATAGTTTTGAAAAATGAGAAAAAAAACTATTTGGTTTGCTAGAAATGTGGAAAAACTGGAAATTGTTTTAATGAATGAAATGATGTGAAATAACATTTGGCTAGAAAAAACTCGATTCGAAAAATGCGAAAAAAGAGATTCACGGTCATTTTCTCAAAGTTCAGGCAATTTTCACAAAAAAACTTATTTACTCTCAAATTCACTTCGGCCCTGTTCCTTAATCTTCAATTTTCTGTTTTCCCAAAGGGTTGATAGATGCGAGACCCACATGTCTCAAATCCGGTGGTGCGATATGAATCAGCGCCTTGAATAGTCCACTTTTGCTGGTTGAACTATTTATGACCCAATGAAGAGGTAATTGAATTATAATTCGAATTCGAGCAAGTGCCCATTAAAGGATACTAGCATGACACCTGTTTATACGCTGTGTCATACCAATGAATTTATACAGAAAGAGTGGCAAATTGACCTTATGTCAACGTTCTCGCCCCTCTTTCTTCATAAACCCATTAAGTAAGACATGTATGGACAGTTGACATGACAACCTATTACTCTTTAGTGGGCTCTTGTTCAAGGTCAAATTAGGATTTAGCTACCTCTACTTGGGATTAGAGGAGGCCATACTAATATAAGAGGACTATTGAAGAAGAGAGAAATAGAAGTTATGGAGAGGGTTATGGATAAATTGAATTTCGAAAATCGTAAAAAATTCTAATTTCAGTATTTTTACACACCTCCTCAAGTTCACAAAAATACACACGTAATGGTTTTGGTTCTTCGAGGAGAAATTATAGGAAAAGTTGTTTTTTGCGCTATTTTTGATGCAATTTCAATCTAGGCAGAAATCAACTGTGCTTTCGGTGGAAACAGTTCTAACAAATGAAGTGTGTTTACTACCATTACGGGTTAAACAAGAAAAATATAGAACTCTCTTCTTGTGATTGTTTTCAAGTTAATTACCATAACCATGGTTTATTCGAAATAATGGTGCTTTTCGACATCACTACAATATTACAACCGTCCCTATTCTTCAACAACAGTCTACATTTCTTCCTGTATTTCGAATGCGTATTTCTGTTTTATTGGTCTCTCATTCTTTATTTCCATTTTCTGGGTCTCTGCTATTCGATTTCGCATCAATTTCCCAGAGTAACAGTCTGTGCTATTTTTTCCTTTCGATCTCTTCTACTCTGTGTTCTCCATGGTTGGCACCTCGCGGCACCTCGTGGCATTCACCTGGCACCGTTTGACACCGCTTTGTTGTCTTTCCCTTCGCCCCTTTTTGCGCCGTCTCTACCAGCTCCTCCCATTTTCGAGAAGTATATAAGGCGCGCTGAGCGCCTCCTTCTTCAGTATTCTATAGACTGGGTGTGTACCAGTCTTCCCCAATGATTTTTATTAAGATTTTTACAATTCCCTGACGAATTATTTGATTCCGAAGGTAAGAAACTATCCCAAGTTCTACTAAATCCCTAATAAGTTGAAACTTTCAGATTTCCTCTAATCCGATCTTCTTCATTTTCTTCAGTTTCTTCTATGAACACACCTGAGATCAACAACCCAAAAATCAAAGGTACGTTGTTGATAGCCTAACAGACATGGGTCAAGAAAATCAATAAATGGAAAAATTAGTATACAGACGTTTGCCAAAATTATTTCTAGCGAACCATGCCTCTCTTTTCCAGATAAGCAAATTCGGATTCATCTAGGTTGGATGAGGAGCAATCATCGTCGTCGTCAGCCGTAGAATTAAAGGTTTGATATTTTGAGAATTGGTTTTTTGAAAAGTTATATAATTCTCAGAAGAACCGTTGGACACAGAAGAAGTGATATAGCCGGAGCACGAAGCAACCGACGGAATTGGTGGTGGACGCAACTGAGGTCAATTAGGCCTCATCGTCGGAAAAACATAGTCCAGGTTAGTGAATGGATTGGGATAAAATGGATGATATTTCTTTAGTATCGTTCCGCCGGTAGCTCTAACATTTTGCTTACAAGTTCCAGTAGCAATGCCGCTCTTTTCTCTTTTTTTTTGTATCCGCACTCCCTTAAAGGTGGAGGGACATGAGAAAAATAATGTTGTCGAAATTTCGTTTAAATATGCTCCTCGAGGAGTTGAACTTCTCGAGGCGAGTGTTGAAGGTGCGGCGCCGCTACCGACTGAGCTACGCGTGCAAAGAGAGAGCCGCTGCCCGACTGAATACATAAAGGCGAGGGCGACTGCTGTACGCAGAGTGACATTAAGCGTTGTACACCGTTACGGTAGAATGCATACTCCGGCCCCAAAAATCCTCCGTAAAATCTCCTGTCCCCCCACCTTTAAGAACTCAATATACCACATTTCGGGTGTCATTTTGGATACTGAGCAAAAAAAATGTAATGTCAAGGTTAGATTTCAGGATAGTACTTGAATGAAGGTCCTAGCAATTTTTGGATTACCCAAAATTTTCGTTCCGTGATTTTTTTTTTCGTTCCGTGATTTTTTTTTCGTTCCGTGATTTTTTTTCTTTCCGTGATTCTAGAAGAGTGCCGGTTTATTTGAGAGATATCAAAAATCTGCCAACAAATGAATTGTTTATCATAATATCACCTATATTTTAACAGTTGACAAATTTTTGTTATCTTTTAAAGGAATTGAGATAATTGAGTCCAAAGAAAAACATCTTCTGTGAGTTTCATAGGTTCACCTGCAAAATGTTCATTCTGAAGCTAATAGCTACAAATCTTTATTTGAAATCTTTATACGGCATTTCAAACAATATTTAGCTTAAAAATAAGTGCATTTTTCAGAATGAACCGGTCAGAAGAGAAACCGAGGCAGAAAAAGAAATAGGAGACGTCGAAGAAGTGCAGGAGGAGCCCCAACCATCCAGAAGAGGCAGGAGACCATTCACCAACCAAAGGGAAGAAGGAATTCTCAGAAAAAGAGAAAGATCGAAAAATCGAGAAACAATGATGTGAGTGAAACGACGGTTTAATAAAAAAAATGAAATTTAGAAATTCAATGTTTTCACCTTGATTATTTCGGTTTCTGAGTCTTTTTATTCTAATAGTCAGATACAAAAATCAAGGTGAAAAAACAGTTTTCCTTTTGAAAGAACGAGACAACTATATTCCAACTTTGAGCTCAATTATCTCGGTTCTCGTGAGAGATGTCAAAAATCTGTCAACTGATAAAATAATTATCATAATATCACCAATATTTTATCAGTTGACGAATTTTTGATACCTCTCACAGGAAATGAGATAATTGAGCTCAAAGTGCACGTATAGGGGTTTTCAATATTTTGGCATAAACTAAGCTAACCAGTGTTAATAAAACACTTTGATCCGACATACCGTAAAATCTGTATTAGAAGTGCCCCCTGTAATAGAAGGGTGCCCATCAAAATGCGCTGTTTAAAATTAATATTTTTCGTATGTTTCCAGTCAAAAAAAACTCTGAAAATTCCATAATTTCGCAGAAATTTGTTGAAAAAAATTTTTTTGCTCAAAATTTTGCTCACTTCCGGTGAAATTGATAGATTTTCATGAAGTGTTTCAATGATAACTTTCGGAAAAATGGCTGGAAAAATAGAAGGACCGACCCTTCTAATATAGGTTTAACGGGATCAGCAAGGTGTCAAAGTGAAAATTTTGATTTTAAAAAATAGTCTTCAAATAAACCACAAATTTATTTCAGCCAGAAAACACCTCCGAGCTCCTCCCTTTTTCCGAACGTTGGAATAGATCGGAGAATTTACCCACTTCATCACGCCATCAATATCCAGAACCTCATCCATTCAAAAACCCTTAGAAAAAATTGATGCTTTATTTTTCTTACAAAAATCACATTATATGTATAATTTCTTTTAGTTGCAGTCATTTTTAATATTTAATTTTTACGGATCCCAACGTTGAGCCAATTTATCTCGGTTCCTGTGAAAGATATTCAAAATTAGTAAACTGACAAAATAATTAAAATTCAATGACAAACATTTTATCAGTGGACCACGTTTGGATATCTTCTTCAGGAAACGAGATATAAAGACTCAAAGTTGACCTTCTGAATCCCTTCAATCCATCTTCTCATGAATTAATTTCTTTGTATTATTCTCTTTTTGATGGTTCTCATGACCTCCACACACCATCATTTCATTTTATTTCCTCCTCTCCTGTCTTCACGGGTTTTATGACCAATTCTTCGTTTTTTTTCTGTCTTCTATGTGCTTTTCTTTTTCTATTTCCATGTCCTTTCTTTCTTTATTCTAAGATTCTTCCCCCAAATCGTTTTTATGGTGTTAATTGCTTTTTGTTCCCCTCGTCCCTATGTTCTTTTTTTTATTTCATCGGTTGTTAACTTTGTTTCTGGTTCTGGTCCATAATGTGTAAATTCAATGAATTTTTAAAATAAAATTTCTCTTTTCGAATGTGCAGATTTTCAGATTTTCAAATGCTCTCAACTTTGAGCTGAATTATCTCGGCACCACCAATATTTTATCAATTGACAGAATTTTGATATCTTTTATAGGAATTGAGATAATTGAGTTCGAAGTTGACGGTTCAGGTGGCTGGAAGTTTGGAGAAGTAAAAAGAAAATAAAGAATAGAATAATCCCCCTGATCTTTTGATTTATAAAAATGCATAGATTATCGCCGACTGTATTTTTAAGTGGGCATCTTAACCTATAGGAAACCAGAGATCAGGGAAAGTTCGTCGGAAGAAATGTTCTTTGTGGCTTTCGAGTTATTTGGAACTTCTTTTATTTGATTTACTGTAAAAGATCTAACATAATGCTCCTGAAATGTTCAACTTTGAGCCTATATATGCGGTTCCTATGAGAGATATCGAAAAGTTGTCAACTGATAATATGTTCATCATAATATCATCAAAATTTTATTAGTTGATAAAGTTTTGATATTTATCATATGAACTGAGATATATAAGCTCGAAGTTGACGGTTTGAGTAAAGCAAATATGTTATTTATCGTCGAATTTCGGCGTCAGATTTGATCGAACGAGTCTGAAATTTTTCAGGTCAACTAAACAAAAACAGAGCTTACATTTTGTAGTTGACAACTTTTTGCAAATATTCATCCAAATGAGATATACCGCTTGAAAGTGTAATGATCATGAACTCAACGTCAATTCTGGAAGTTTTGGCACTCGGTTGGTTTCAAGTGGTTTATCTCATTTCGATGAATTTTTACAAGAAAGTTGTCAACTACAAAATTGAAGCTATATTGTTGTTTGGTGGACCTAAAACTTTGAGGCTTCTCAGACAAAATCTACTATGTTTTAAGACATTCAAATAGACAATTTTCAAAATAGAATCTCATCCCATTCTTACACTTCCAGCTCAGCTATATCGGTTCCTATGAGAGACATATGAAACATTTCAACTAATTAAATATTGCTGATATTGTGACAAACATTTCATTAGTTGATAGATTTGTGATATCTCTCATAGGAACAGAGATAATTGAGTCCAAAGTAAAGGCCTTCTAGGATTTGTTAAAGGTAATACGGTATGTAAAGTCTAAAAACCCTAAAATTAATTTCTTCTTGTCCTCAAAACTACTATCACCAGATTTCATCACTACCTTCCTCTTTTTGATGTCCCCGACTGTTTTATTAGTCTACCGTTAACTCTTTTTCCTCTAACGAGAACAGAACTTTATGACAAGTGTTTTCAATAGGTCACAGTAGTTTTCTTATTCTGTCCGAGATCTATCCTTTTTACGACTTCTTTTTTTTTCTTTCAGAAAAAAAGAGAACTGTGTCAATCGGTTCATCTAATTACCGAGTGATTAAAAGCTTTGCCAAAGTCATAAATTATCAGTAAATTTCACTTCCTGTTGGTTTTGATATATCAGAATGAGAGAAAGATAAAGAGAGAGAGAGAGAGAGAGAGAGAGAGAGAAAGAAAGAAAATTTAGGTATATATAACTGTTCCATGATTGAAGAACAAGGTTCAACGGATGTTGAATTTTTCAGAGCTTTCTTTAAAAACCCACAAAACTTTGTTCTTATTTTCCATGTTTGATTTTTGAGTATTTCGATTTTCTATTGTTTTTTGGATGGGTATGACGTGATTAGGGGGTCAGAATGATGTGTTGATGAGAGAAGAAGACTAGAACACATTGAATACTAAAAATCGATGACGTTGAATGATTATCAAACGGTTATCAGATAGATAGTTGGGTCAAAATTTTAGAAGAGTGCCTCTTTTTTTAAGCTTTCGAGATTTCTAGTTTTTTTTTAAATTTTTATAGAAACTTATCATTTCAAACTGATTTGTAATCAGAAAAATCCAATTTACAACAAATCGGCCTTTCTTCATAAACCAATTTCTTTGTATCTTAAAGTTTGAAACTTTCAAAAATGTTTTTCTTAAAGGTGGGGGGGGGGGACATGTGAAAAATAATGTTGTCGAAATTCCATTTAAATATGCTCCTCGAGGAGTTGAACTTGTCGAGGTGAGTGTTGAAGGTGCGGCGCCGCTACCGACTGAGCTACGCGTGCAAAGAGAAAGCCGCTGCCCGATTGCATACATAAAGACGAGGACGACTGCTGTACGCAGAGTGACATTAAGCGTTGTACACCGTCACGGTAGAATGCATACTCTGGCCCCAAAAATCCCCCGTAAAATCTCCTGTCCCCCCACCTTTAAAAAACTAGTCCTTTTTGTCTCCCTTTGATCAATTAACAAAAACTTGAACAGCAAAATAGTAAACGTTTGTTAAATGTCTTTTTTGACAGGCGCGGACACTGCCATCGAATTCATCGGGCGGCAATTCAAGGGAACCGCCACGTTTATGTGCACCACAGCAGCTGGGATTCGGGAAGCCTGAGATGTGGGACGTGTTGGGAGCAGCTGGATTCGATTTGAGAAGGAATTATTTTTGAATATTTTTAAATTTAATTTATTTAAACTAATAAATGTTTTGACACATGAAATGTATATCAATGTAAAATTTAAAAAAAACAGAGACACACAAGATACTCGATCTCGAAAATCACACACTCTGGTTTCATGTAAGGAATAGAGTGGCCTAAATTTTTCAAGATGAGTGTTAGGCCACCAAAGTTGATGGACCAGTAATGGTTTAACGTGCACCTGATGTTTTTCTAGGATATTTTGACATCGTCGCCCAACTTTCCCAGTTTGAGTTTCCTAGGCCAGAAACTTTTACGGCCTAGATATGACCTGATATTTACCTAGTGGGTTTCCTAGGCTATTTTATTATGGTGTTCTAACTTTCTCAAGTTTAGTTTTCTAGGACACCTATTTTCATGGCCTCAAAATATTAGGTTCGGAAAGTCCTTTCCATTTTTGATATGTTGTTTTCAAACTTCGTTTTCTTGAAGGGGATAAAAGCGAGGAAGTTGTCGTTTTATCAGTATGCTGGTGAGGTCTAATAGTGTCTACACCCCAACGGAGATCATTCTCCTCTTTTCGTGCAGTGAGATATGCCCACCGTTTTTGCCTCTAATTATTTCAATTTTTGGACTACCATTTTATTTTTATTTCTATCTGACCTCAGATCAACTGAAATCAATCATCAATTTGTAGAGGTTAACAACGAAGACGCACCCTTTCGTACAAACTTCACAACCTGGATTCATCAATTCGAAAAATGAAAATTCTCGTTGGACGAAAACCCCCTCCAAAAAGCATACCTGCTCAGATTTGGTCGCATTAAAAACCGGGATTGAAAGGGACCCGTCTCAAACTGTGCTGGATATATCAAATACATCAGTGGCAAGCCTTTTGTCAAAAAGCCATAAATTGGAAACTCTCGGCAAAGTAAAAAAGTGGGAAGATGTGGGTCACACCTTTTCGCTCAAAGCAACTTTGTTTCATGTGTGGGCACCTGTTTGAATCTTCTCATCCTGCGTTGCACACATGAATGTTGAAGTTAAATCATTACTAGTGGCGATAAATGGGTAATGTATAATTACTATAAACAAAAATCCAAGTAGGTTGACAAAGGCACTCAACCACCAGACGTCCCGAAACGTGAAATTACCGTTAAAAATAGGATGTTTTCGGCATGGATGTCTACCAAAGAGTGGAGTATTGGGAGCTGCCAGATAATGGTGTCACTTTTATGACCGATACCTATTTTTGTCAGGTGACATAACTCAGACTCCATGTGGATCTCCATTGGAGAGAAACACAAAGGTTTATTTTCAAAATCGAAATTCGCAACCTCACGCGGGAAGGAGAACGGAGACCGATCTCACTGGATACGGCTAAACGGTTCTGTCTTATCTACAGTATAGCCCAAACCTTGTGCTGTCTGACTACCCCCTATCCAGCCATTTCTACCGACATCTTGATTGAAAAAAATTCACTTCAAAGCATGATGTCAAAAATGGGTTGACCTGATTTTCAATGCGCTGTGACCGGAGTTCTGGAAGGAAGACATCCACATTTTGGTGGGACGTTGGCAGATAGTCACTGATAACAATGATCATTATCTTCAATTTATCTGACATCGTTTTGACCTTTTTCATATCGAATGAATCTGACGCTAAAAATGGAAAGGACTTTTCGAACAACCTAATAACTGGATATTCACCTGATGTGTTTTCTCATTTCGAAATTCTGGTCTAACTTTTCCAATTGGGTTTGTTTTTTATGGGTCTACATGGTTTAGGAAACACACCAGATGGATAGCAGACAGTTACTAGGTTGTTGGATAAGGTCAGATTCTCAGGTCATTATATTTTCCCATCATTCTCACTCGTCATTTCTGATTTTCTCATTACAGAAATTCGACAATTATGAGACATAAATATCATGAGACAGGCGTTATGACGACCTATTGTCCTTCAGTGGGCATTTGTTTGAGGTCATAGTAAAATTTTATTACCCTTCATTACGGTCATACAAGGTCATGCTAAGAAAGTGGGCTATTGAAGGTGAGAATGACAGTAATAATGTTGACACAAGTGGTCCTTGTATCTCACTTTCCCGTGGGAAAAATCTGTCAACATTTCAGGTGAAAGAGCGTCAGTCCTGATTCTAGAGAATAATTCGGGAAAGAGATAGAATTTCTGCATTTCTAAATGGGCACTGCAAAAAATGAGGATGAAGAAAGTTCTGAGAAAACGAAACGTGAATAGGGGCCAATATATTTTCAGATTTCAAATGTTTCTTGGCTGAATTCAAATATAGCCCCCACCCCAATTCAAGTATAGCCCCCCAAAATGAACCATAGTA